GCACCACGGTGGGTAAGGACTAAGCTCACCCGAGTCAGCATCTGCTGACACACTAATAGCGAGTTGACATTAGTCGGCACAGGCCGGGCTCCCCCATAGCCCGGGCGAGGCTCAGCTTCGCAAATCGGACTTATCCTTATCCTTATGGGCCCTACAATACAGACTCAAGAACACCGGGCTCCCCTAATGGGCATAGCCCGGGCGAGGCTCTGCCTCGCAAATCAGACAAAAAAAAAAAAAAAAAGAAATACAGACTCCGGGCTAGTTCAGTGGTAACGTGTCGGCCTCTCATCCGAGGGGTCGGCGGTTCGCGCCCAGCCCAGGCGCGAGAAGTTGCAATTGTCGCATGGAGGTTACTGCTGTGGCTGGGCACCACGGCGGGTAAGGACTAAGCCGAGTCAGCACCAGCTGACACACTGTTAGCGAGTCGACATTAGTCGACACAGGCCGGGCTCCCCTCATAGCCCGGGCGAGGCTTAACTTCGCATATCGGATTTATCCTTATCCCTACAATACACTCGTGGATGAAACTCTGATGAGTAAACACCTTGTTGAAAACGCAGCAGCAATAAAAAATTGTGCCACAAGAGCTACTCTGGAGCCCGGGGCCTCTCCTCTCGTTAGACATTGTTGCGTTTGAGTTATAAAGTAACTTAAATAAAGTAAAACCTGTAATTACAGATCATTTCACACTTTATAGTGCTTTGTCAGCACTTTCAGTACTTTTGTTTTTGCTGGTGACGCGAAGCTACAGTAGGAGTAGTCAGCACCCCACCTCAGTCCCACAGCTTTCTTCTTCACTAGGGTAGCTCTTTTGAGCTTTGACCCCTGAGTAGGGAGGTCCAGTAGTCTGGGGAGTTTTTTGTGCGCACTTTTTCTTTAATTCTGAACTTTTCCTCTTAATGTGACTTTCCTGAGCTTACCGGAGTTCCTCGTTAACTCCCATATTCGCTTGGGGGGTGGGAATTGAATTACCGTCCTTTGCCTAGGCAAGTTTGGCGATGAGGAAGTGTCCTCCACATAACTCGATCCCTCTGTGGTACTGGGGGGGGGGTAGAGGACGGAAAACTGCCTTACTCTCTTAGCTATTGCTGTTAGGTTGATACCAAAAGTATGATCACTCTTTGACTAATTCGACTATGGACAACAGAACCCCCACTAATAGCAAGACGAGAAGACCACTTTTCAAAATCCCCACCGAGAATGCAAAGTTCGCGAATGTAAAATGCGTGAATGAAAATCGATCGCTTTTGAATGTGAACCCCTTTATCATCAAAAAGGTCCTTGTCAAAAAATTGCAAGTTGGAAGCCTCCTTGTTAAAGTACAATATAACTCCTAGATTAAAAATTGACTTTAGCTGACGCATATTCATGATCTCCGAGTTAGAGCAACTATTCCTATTGGCCTAAATACCTGTAAAGGAGTAATCTTTCACAGGGATTTGATGACGATGGAAGAAAGGGAAATTCTCGAGAGCATGAAGGACTAAGACGTCATTGTATGACCAAGAAGGATGGGAATGTGCAAACGAAAACTGGACTGCATTGCCAATGCATTGTAGTAGATACCAAAAATTCGGACAAACCTCATTAAGGTGTATTGATAAAGACTCAAGTAAATTTGTTTGCTGTAAATGTGCTGAAGCCCATAACACCATCACAAGTACTAGCCAGATTTCCAAATGTGCTAACTGTGGAGGTCCCCATCAGTCAGGGTCTGCTGAGTGCAGCATCCTGAAGAAGGAGACTGAGACATTAGCATATATGAGAAAACAAGTTAGTTATACTGAAGCTAAGAGGAAAGTGTAAAGTTTGATACACAAACCCGATACTTCCTATGCTGCAGCAGTAATTAACATCATCCCTAGTGCAAGTGATGTCAGTCAACAGCTTGCAGCTAAAGATAAAGAAAATGTTGATTTGAAACAAACCGTTAAAAAATTAAATATTAAAGTTCATCAATAGCAGCCAAGTGCCTGTGGCACACCATTGACGACTCGTTGGGAAGCGATCATCTTCCTATTTTGATTGAATATATATGCGACACAGTGAGAACGCCTTCGGCACCTAAATTTAACGTATAAAGAGCAGACTGGGTCACCTTCACAAGGAGCGTCAAGCTCGAACTTGTTGGAGAAATCATTGATGATAAAGTAAACAATATTCAGAATTCGATTATAGAAGCAGCATTGCTATCCATTCCTAAAACTTCGACAGATAGCGTTAAGCATAGAGTTCCATGGTTGACACCAAATTGCCGGAGAGCGCTTTGCCGACGCACAAAAGCCTACAGGCTTTTCAAAAATAACATCACTAATGAGAACTTTTGCAACTACAAACAAGCAAGAACTAGGGCTCATAGAGTAATAAGCTTTGTCTCTACAATCAACAGCAATAGAAAGATATCAGAGGTTTGATCCACTGTCAATAAAATCAATAAGTAAGAAACATCTTTCAAAAATTAATAACGTCTTTCGCGAGGGTATTAATTTCGATTCAC